TTTAAAATTCTTTAAATGTAAAAATTTAATTTAAAAAAATGTTTTAAATAAATAAATGAATCAGAATATTATGAAATAAGTAATTTAAGTTCGAACATAGTTATATATATTTTTAGGAGTGTTATAAAATGAATGTCAATAAAATGGATGTCTAATAATATGTTCCATTGAACCGCACTAAACCTGCACTATTACTGCACTAGTGCAGTTTTCATCTAAACCTAGCACGGCGCTAGTGCTGCACCAGTTTTCCCAGTGGAAAACGCTATTAGATGAATTGAAAATGTTCATTTTGCGCCATGATACATCCATCGAGCCTTCTTCTTAAAGATTGACGTACACGCTCAAAGATACCAGGTGTGTTACGTATTGCTTCGCATGAAGCAACTATTCGATTCCTCAAATCATTCTCATTCTCAATTGGGGTAGTATAAACCAATGATTTCAGATACCCCCAAAGAAAATAATTTAAAGGATGTAAGTCTGGTGATCTAGGAGGCCAAGGTTGAGTTCCTGCTCGACCTATTCAGCGATTATTGTACACCCTATCCAAATATTGTAAACTTTTACAAAATTATATAAAATTTGTAAACTTAGACACGATGAAATCGATTTTGATGGATTGAAACAATTTGGCCCGAAAACGTATGTACCATGATAAAAATACAAGGGTATGCTCATCAATTGTCTAAAACTCGTTCAGCTTGCGCATGTCCTTGCTACGTCATATTCGGGTACGCGTTGATTGGTCGGTTCTGATTCGGGTGCAATCGGTGGTTATCGGTCGTAATTTATCATGGCGTCCATGGCGTAGTGCACGTTGTCATCGGTAGAAGTTAATGTTAAAAATATTTTCACGATGACCTGCATAGTGAAAGGATGCGGCAATTATATGAAAAAAACAAAAAAAACTGAGGGAAGTAAAATTAAATATTTTACCTTTCCAAAACAATCTGAAATTGCTGAACAGTGGCGTAAGCCACTCGTTGTGACGTAAGCAAGGACAAAAATCTGATTGGTCATGCGCATGAGCATACCCTTGTCTTTTTATCATGGTATGTACAAGCTAAATGATCCGCAGCAACATCAGGACTGAAGTCTATTTTTGATTTTGTGACTTTGACTTTGACTTTGTCACTTTGTTTACGGTTATGCGAATAGTAACTCACATGAAGCAAGGCTTATTTATGCAGGAAGATCTCCAACGCAATTTATCGTTTCGTCAAACATTTGTGAACATTCATCTGTATTTCGGAAACTTAAGGCCGCGGTCCGATACACGCTCACAACGCTTAAAAATCATTTCATCTTTGTTGTTTGTCAAATGTTAAACGAAGACAAACAATGCTTATGAGTGTTGTCAGCATGATTCGGACCACGGCCTAAGTCGTTTAGGACACATGTTTATATGGACTTTTTTACTTGAAATTAACCAAAGAATCGCTCGGTTGAGTTTGGGAACATACTTAATTAACACTCTGTATATCGGATAATTTCTCACCAAATAGTGTTTTGTAATTCGCACTCGGCATTAGTATAAAACCTTACATTTTCAAAAACCTTCCGATGGGTCTTAAAACCTTCCAAAGGAAGGAAAACATTTCAGTGGAACAACACTGATTGGGCCAGAAAATCAGCTTACTTCCGACGTGTCTACTGCTTCGACTACTGCTACTGTTCATTGTAGACGACGCTTTAAAGATCCAGCTTCGATCGTTATAGGCATTTTAATTTCTAGTTCTTATTGGTTGTGTTCTCACATGTACGTTTGTTTATAACATCGGACATTATATCTAACTTCGGCGTAAATCGAGCCGTGTAAACATAGTAACATACATTTTTTATACATACGAGAAGTTACTTATCGATTACTGCATGTCAATAGAAGATTAAATATTAAAAATATTTATAAATAATAGTTCAAATATATTAATATTTTTTATATATCGTAAAGATCAGATTCTTCTATACTTGCGCATGCTGCAGTAACTAATACCACAAGAGCGTTCAACAGATCACTCACCATGTTGTAACTCATCAGTAAACCATTGTGCAGTAGATGCATTCTGCTGAATGCACCCAATATATTGCAAATTAAAGAATAAAATTTAAAAAATCAAAACTGTATTGTGAAAGTGATGACAAGGTAGTGCAACCTGTCACGTACCATAAGTAATACCAGAAGTCAATCAGCCATTCCATCGGGAACAATTAACCGGTTTTGCAAAGAACAATTGGATTTGTGAATTTGTCTAATTTATTATATCCATTATTAAAATAATAAAAAATGCATATCAATAGTAATTAAGAATATAGCAATTATGATAAAAAAAATTTAATTTGTCAATTTAATTTGTTAACAATTATTATAGTGATATATTAATGTGCATTCACGAGTCTAACTCGATACAAACAAATTCTTTCTTCAGTATTAGCACTGTTTGTCGCATTTAGTGATGTAGGGTGGTGCACATTCGCTGTGTTTTGCGCCGAACGAAAAGGCGGGAGTCGATTTAGGTGGCAGAACAGCATATATCGGACCTGGACTTTCGGAAATTAACTGTAATGCACGTCTAGTACTAGCAATAGTATATATCGGTGCTTTTGGTTTCACTGCGTCCAAACTGTACGAATAGGGACCTGCGCTGATTTGGGGCTTCTTCACAGCTGCGCGCAATCCTCTATAAACGGTATAATTCAAATAAATACGAGTCATATTCTAAAATGAACGAGTAAAAATTACGAAAGAAATATTGAATGTACATGGAAAATGCTGGCGTATCAGTAATAGGCTTAATATAATAAGGTCCTGGAGTTTCACTAGTTTTTCTAAATTTAGTTCTCCATTTGACTGAATAAAAAGGACCATGAGGGATATCGGGCAACATGTATTTTGGACCAGGTCCGAACATAATGTCTGTCAAATGTAAAAGAGAAAGAAATAATAATGTTGGATAAAAATACAAAATACTTTTAAAAGATAGCATGGATATCTCACTAACGCAATTTATTATAATTCAGTAAAACATCCAATTTATATTACAATAAGATCGAGATAATGACATCTTGATTGAGATTTGACACAAAAATTTCATTGAATTTTATATTAATTAATTTTATTTTATATTAACGTCACTGTAATATTGCGTGTAATTTGGAAAATATTGTAAAAATATAGTAGAGATATTATATTTTAATATTTCATAAATGTTTTCAAATATTGCTACAATACCGTAAATCTCATATGTTATATTTTATAATATTCTAAAAATATTGTAGATATGTTTTTTTATGATATATATTCTATGTTCAAAATTAAATTAATAAATTTAAGTACAGTATTAACTATAAATAAAGTTATTAAAATTATTCGACAAAATTGGTAAATTAAGTATATCTATTATTAACTAATTGTAATTAAAATGATTAGAATAATTAAAAAACAGAGTAATATTTGTAATTAATAGACTAAGTACAAGAATTGGCTATCACGGTTATCCATGTAGCATAAAAGTTTCCAGCAATATTGCTATAACGTCGCAATATATTACATATTACAATATTTCAGAATAAATGTAGAATATGCAACATGATTTTAATAATGTTGCAGCAATGTTCTTAAAAAACTGAAAATAAATTACTACTACAACTTTGTGCTTGAACATTTGTATGTGCATGCACATTTTAGGGTGACCAGATCTAACCGTAGGTAAAAACTAGAACATTCCTGATTGAAAAGTAATACAAAAATAAGACACAAAACTAAAAAATAAGACAAAAAAGAGAACATTTTAGGTTAAATCGTAGTTTAAAATAAGTTGTATATTTGAACTCAACAGTAGAAGACAGCGTACGTTTAATCACAGATACATAGTTTGTCGCGTCGCATGCTCTAACATGTTCCAACATACGGCGTCGTCTACAATACACGGAGTAAAAAGTAAGAGTAAGAAATTTACCAATCACAGTCGATTATTCTTCTCACATTCGACTGTGATTGGTCAATTTCTTACTCTTACTTTTTTACTCTTACTACAAAATGGTAGAGGACTTTTCGACTCAGTTTAGTCTGCTCTATCTACACAAAAGTGATTGGCAAAAAAGTTCCGGACACCCTGTATATTCTGAAATATTCTAAAATTTTTTATTCTACAATTTCTAAAGAAATATCGGAAACTTTCAAAGGAGCCCACACAAAACATATGGAAAATGGATCCCAGCTAATTTGGCTGAATTTGTAATATGTTGTAGTTCTGATCGTCCTGATCAAAAGTCTCCAAGGGCACGAAATAAAATAATGAACAGTTTTTTAGTTATTGTACATCAAACTCTGTCAAAATCGCTGTTTTGGCAGAATTTGATGTACAAAAATTGTTCATTATTTTACTTTGTGCCCATGGAGACTTTTGATCAAGACGATCAGAACTATAACATATTACAAATTCAGCCAAATTAGCCGGGATCTATTTTCCATGTTTTGTGCGGGGTCCTTTTATAAGATTTTATCAGAAATTATGAAATGGTGAAATTATATGTAAAATTACAAATGAGAAATTTTTTAATTGTAAAATATTTCAGAATTCACACATATATAAAAAATTCCAGAAAGGATATAAACTTTATTAGCACTTTAAAATGTATCCCCCCCCCCCTAATTTTTATTTTAAAAATCTAAAAAATTTTCTAAAAATTTACAAAAAGTTATTCATAAATTCTAAAAAATTCGGAAGTTTACAAAAAATTGTATAAAAATTCTAAAAAAAGTTACTTCAGATGTTATAACAATATTTTATACAATCAGAGCATGATTTGATTTAAATGACAAAATCTTTTTACCACGACATTTTACGGTATGTCCAAAGGTAAATCCCTTGGGTCTATGTTCTTTGATCATATACTTCGGTCCTGGACTTTTTGCCACTTCAAAGATGACACGACGATCTCCAAACGTATATGCTGGGTTTCGATATCTTGAAATACAATGATCTTTGTGACCGACAAGTGTCTTAAGTTGATATTTAGGCCCTGGAGCTGCAAAATACATGATAAATTATATTTAATAACTGTTATAAAATGGTTTTTGAATGTGAATACACAAAAAGCAATCATAGCTATGACACATATACTACTAAATTATTTATATAGTGTTATAATAGTGTTCACATTATTTTTATCATGAGGTTTAGTACTTTACCCACACAGTAAATGTATCAAAAATATATCTTAGAGATATCTTAAAGATATATTTAGGATATGTGATATCTTTAGGATATCTGTCTGATGTATTTCGGAAATTTTTGCTGTGTGGTTAATGGAATATTATATAAAGTTTACGTTTGTTTTCACCTCCATATAAAATCTTTATTTAAATTAGATGTGAAGAATGCGTACTGATAAAGTGACATGTTATGGTGCCCTTTGTCTTTAACGTTTTTTTTTCACTTTTAGCAGTTTTGCCTTTTCTACTCTCCTTTTTTAATGGCATTTTTTTACTTGTATATTTGAAAATTTTATTTATGTATCATATAATACACATGTTATATTACTATAATTTTAACTGCATTCCGACAAAAAAACAATTGCTCATATAAATCATCTTAAAACTCATGATGCAAGTAGACATGGGGCTCTATTCTTGAAACGAAACGTATACGAAAGTCTAGGGAAATGCTACAGTATACGTTACGTATACTATAGTATTTCCCTAGACTTTCATATACGTTTCGTTTCAAGAATAGACCCCATGGTATGTTCCTGCGCACGTTTATCTGCTGCAACCAATCAGAGGCTCTATTCTTGAAAAGAAACGTATACGAAAGTCTAGGGAAATGCTACAGTACATGTTACGTATACTATAGTATTTCCCTAGACTTTCGTATACGTTTCTTTTCAAGAATAGAGCCCCAGAGCTTGACTATTTTTCGCCATTTTTCGGTGAATTTTGTTTCAATCAAAGAGGTTGTATGCAAAGACATAGAGAATGGACTGCGCGATCCGTATCTAAGGCCGGTATTCATAGTCGGATCTTATATTTAAGACCGTCTTAAGTACAGTCTTAAGATGTCATGAACCAATCAGAAGGCCGCATTAGCGACTTAAGACATTACTTAAGACGGTCTTAAAATAAGAACCGACTATGAATACCGGCCTAAGTAATGTATCAAATGTGGTCGACAATAATGAGAGAGAGGGACCGTGAGAGACGGCCAATCCGCCAATCCTCCTCTCATTTGGTCTGTTTTCTGTTCCTGCACTAGACTGTTTTAAGCCCATTCTACAATTGCGTAAGTGTAGTTGTAAATAGTTGTAGTTGTAAGAAATTGATCAATCACTGTCGAATATAAGAAGAATATTCAACTGTGATTGGTCAATTCTTACAATTACAATCACTTACAACTACGCTTACGTAATTGTAGAATAGGCTTTAGAACTCCCTTTCTCGCTTAACAAATATCAAACGTATATCTATCTCACTTTAAGTTCCAAAAGTGTACACTAGTTCAGCTACAGAAAACAGATACATTCCCTCTCCCATTATACCATTGAACGGAAAAAGATAGAAAGGGTGGGGTAGGACTTCCCATTTCAACGTTTCCAAGTATATCTTGACCAGTTTCGCAACATAAGGTCGAGCATTGTCATGCTGCAAAATCACTTTATCGTGTCTCTCGTTGTATTGCGGCCGTTTGTCTTTCAATGTTCGGTTTAAACGCATCAATTGCGTTTGATACCCATCACCTGTGATTGTTTCAGTCGGTTTTAACAGCTCATAATACACTACGCCGAGCTGGTCTCACCAAATACAGAGCATGACCTTGGAGCGGTGAATATTCGGTTTGGCCGTCGACGTGGAAGCATGGCCGGGAACTGTCCATGATTTTTTTTCTGCGCTCGGGGTTATCGTAATGAACCCATTTTTCGTTCCCAGTCACAATGCGATGCAGAAATCCCTTCCGTCTTTGCCTTTCAAGCAGCTGTTCACAAGCAAACAAATGCCGTTCAACATCTCTCAGCTTCAACTCGTACGGTACCCAATTTCCTTGCTTCTGAATCATTCCCATGGCTTTGAGGCGTTTTGAAATGGCTTGTTGAGTCACTTCCAATGATCGTGCCAATTCTTCTTGATTTTGACATGAGTCTTGATCAAGTAATGCCTCCAATTCTGCATCTTCGAAAACCTTTTCTCTTCCACCGCTATGCCGGTCTTCGACGTCAAAATCATCGTTCTTGAAGCGTTGAAACCACTCACGACACGTTCTTTCACTAATAGCGGCCTCACCATAAGTATTTGAGAGCATTCGATGAGCCTCAGCCGCAGATTTCTTCATATTGAAGCAGAAAATTAAAACCTTCCGCGAATGACGAGAATTTGGCTCGTAAACTGACGTTTTCAATCGAGAATAATTTTATGATGCAGACACAAATCAACTAATGTTTCTATGGGGTTATGTTGACAGATGCCCAGGTTTATCGTATGATGTCTATGATCTATTTCGACCACCACTGGGGTGATCCCGATTGATCACGGTTCGATTGGACACCACCAATCACAGCGACCAGGTGCCTAGGAGCTTTGTGGTCTCAAGCGCTGTGAGTGACTCGTGTCCAATTGATCCGTGTCCAACTGGGTGCCACCCCCATCACTTACCGCTAAAGCCATCTATAGGAAAACGGCGGAAGCAAAGTTGTACAACTAATATATCTATATGATATTTATAATTTATTATTTTACATTTAAATATTGTTTAGAATTTTGAATCATTTCCGTGCATTTAAATGTAAAATAATAAATTATAAATACTATATAGATCCGTTCAAAATATTAAAATATAACCAATTGTTCTACAACTTACCATATTCTGCATGCTGTTGAAAAAATTTCGTTCACATCTGCTGTATATACTTATTTAAAACTCCCGAAAATTTAGGTTATGGATTCGCGCACAAAGATGGTCACAACTGAGTCGTAGTCGTAAGTCGTTGTCGTAGGTCAACGCACAAGGATTTTACGTATGTCGTTTACGTATATCCTATTGCGCCAGTTGTTTGCGTCAACTAACTGTTTACTGAAGCCTGATTGGTTGTTGTTAATCCAACAACCAATCAGGCTGTTAGAAACAACAGCAAACAGAGAAAGAACGATCTTATTATTCCTGCCTCTCACTCTAATCGTCTTTCTACCCCCACCATTGCCATCAGCGGTCTATTCTAGATGTCGATGATTTTAACCTATTAAAATATAAAATATTACAAACTGTAACAATATTACTGATTAGAAATACGATTGCACATATTTTTTATTTTTCTTTGTTTTCTTGTTACATTATTTATTTTTATTTGCATATTTACATTGCGCAATCTAATATACGATCAGGGGCTCTATTCTTGAAAAGGAACGTATACGAAAGTCTAGGGAAATGTTACAGTATATGTTACGTATACTGTAGCATTTCCCTAGACTTTCGTATACGTTTCTTTTCAAGAATAGAGCCCCTGGTTCGCACCAAACATGCGATTACCTCCGTCGGAAATTTGTACTCAAGTTTCAGACCTACTTTCGCAGTTAATGTATCAAAAATGTTGTCCTGCATATTAAAAAAGTCTCCGTGAAATAATTGAAATTCAGTATC